AGTAGTAGTAGTAGTAGTAGTAGTAGTAGTAGTAGTCGTAGTAGTAGTAGTAGTAGTAGTAGTAGTAGTAGTAGTAGTAGTAGTAGTAGTAGTAGTAGTAGTAGTAGTAGTAGTAGTAGTAGTAGTAGTAGTAGTAGTAGTAGTAGTAGTAGTAGTAGTAGTAGTAGTAGTAGTAGTAGTAGTAGTAGTAGTAGTAGTAGTAGTAGTAGTAGTAGTAGTAGTAGTAGTAGTAGTAGTAGTAGTAGTAGTAGTAGTAGTAGTAGTAGTAGTAGTAGTAGTAGTAGTAGTAGTAGTAGTAGTAGTAGTAGTAGTAGTAGTAGTAGTAGTAGTAGTAGTAGTAGTAGTAGTAGTAGGTAGTAGTAGTAGTAGTAGTAGTAGTAGTAGTAGTAGTAGTAGTAGTAGTAGTAGTAGTAGTAGTAGTAGTAGTAGTAGTAGTAGTAGTAGTAGTAGTAGTAGTAGTAGTAGTAGTAGTAGTAGTAGTAGTAGTAGTAGTAGTAGTAGTAGTAGTAGTAGTAGTAGTAGTAGTAGTAGTAGTAGTAGTAGTAGTAGTAGTAGTAGTAGTAGTAGTAGTAGTAGTAGTAGTAGTAGTAGTAGTAGTAGTAGTAGTAGTAGTAGTAGTAGTAGTAGTAGTAGTAGTAGTAGTAGTAGTAGTAGTAGTAGTAGTAGTAGTAGTAGTAGTAGTAGTAGTAGTAGTAGTAGTAGTAGTAGTAGTAGTAGTAGTAGTAGTAGTAGTAGTAGTAGTAGTAGTAGGTAGTAGTAGTAGTAGTAGTGGTAGTAGTAGTAGTGGTAGTAGTAGTAGTAGTAGTAGTAGTAGTAGTAGTAGTAGTAGTAGTAGTAGTAGTAGTGGTAGGAAGACTCGATCCACGGCGCTATAGAACACAACCGCGGCATGGCACATCGCAATTCAGCACGGTGCAGCACAGCACAGCCCTCGGCACGGTACATCAAGATCGATACAATCAGCATTGCACTTGCCCGTCACCCAATCAGGTGTCTTTGAAAATTTTGCCATGCGTTATATTTATATATTTCTTTCCGGGTTCGTGGGTCGATCATGTTACGTGTTCAGGCCACTCAGGGGTGTATCTAAGATGGTGGTTTTGCGTTGGAACCGTTTTTTTTCAAGTGTCCAGACCATCCAGGAGGGTATCTGATATGATTGTCCCGAACTGGAACCTCGTGTTTGACGTGTCCAGGCCGCCCAGGGGGATATCTAACATGGCGTCCGACCCAACGCCGGATTATCGGGAAACGCACGAGGAGCCGAAAAGCGCTACCCGAACACATATCCCAATGCAGAAAAGTGATGCTTTCTTTCTCTGGACAGGGGGTGGCGCTTTGGGGGGGCCCCTCCAGGGAAGACATTGCGAGGATGTGTCGATCGGGAGCGCGACGTCAGCGTATCCAGGCCACGCAGAGGGTATCAAACGTGGTGGTTGCCCCGAGCTGGAATCACGTGTTCTTACGTGTTCAGGCCTCTCAGGGGTGTATCTAACATGGTTCTCCCGAGCTGGAACCGCGTGTTTTTACGCGTCCAGGTCACCCAGGCGGGTATCTAACATGGTTGTCCCGAGTTGGCACCATGTGTTTTTACGTGTCCAGGCCACCCAGGTGGGTATCTAACATGGTTCTCCCGAGCTTGAAACACGTGTTTTTACGTGTCCAGGCCACCCAGGCCGCCCAGGGGGGTATTCAACATGGTGGAACCAGGTGCTTTGACGTGTCCAGGCCACCTAGGGGGTATCTAACATGGGCCTTCCTGGGGGCCTGGAACGGACGTCTAACATGAAGATGTGTTGAGGATGTCTCGAGCGAACCACTTGTCTTCACGTGTTCAGTTCGCCCAGGCGGACGTCTAGCATGAGGTGGCACGTCCATTGACACGTTCCGTAGCGCGTCCCCTTGGCACGTCCCGCGGTGCGTCCCCGTGGCACGTCCACTGGCACGTCGCTTGGCGCGTCCCTTGGGACGTTCCGCGGCGCGTCCTCCTGGCATGTTTCCCTGTCAATCAGCTCTGGGGCAGCTAATTTGTGCTCAGGCAGTTCGAGCTCAAGATCCAGATCAGTTCGGTCAGGACTTAGATGCAAAGGAGGACTCGGTCCACAACATTAGAGAGCACAATCGCTGCATGGCGCATCGCAGTTCAGCACGGCGCAGCACAGCACAGCCCTCGGCACGGTACATCAAGATCGATACATTCAGCCTTGCATTTTGGCACGTTCCTTGGCGCGTCTTGTGGCGAGTCCTCCTGGCACGTCGCGCGGCGCGTCCCTTGGCACGTCCCGTGGCACGTCCATTGGCACGTTTCGTAGCGCGTCCCCTTGGCACGTCCCGCGGTGCGTCCCCGTGGCACGTCCCCTGGCACGTCGCCTGGCGCGTCCCTTGGGACGTTCCGCGGCGCGTCCTCCTGGCATGTCCCCCTGTCAATTAGCTCTGGGGCAGCTACTATGTGTTCAGGCAGCTCGAGCTTAAGATATAGCTCAGTTCGGTCAGGTCTCGGATGCAAAGGAGGACTCGATCCACAAAGTTATAGGGCACAATCTCGGCATGGCACATCGCAATTCAGCACGGTGCCGCACAGCACAGCCCTCGGCACGGTACATCAAGATCGATACACTCAACATTGAATTTGCCCGTCGCCCAATCAGGTTTCTTTGAAGCGTTGCCATGCCTTACATTTCTACATTTCTTTCTGGGTTCGTGGGTCGATCATGCTAGTAGGTAAACCTGTCCCCGGTGCCATGCTTGAAGAGGGCCGGCGAATAAATCAGCGATACATATCGAGGCAAAGTCCCATTCGGCGTGCAACAAATGCGTTTCGCGCGTGCCCGCTCGAGGCAAGTGCGCCCCCCATTTCGGATCCTCGTTGCATAATGGGGTCCGCTGACCCCCGCTTTCCTTGTGAAAAAGAAGGTGCGGAGCGTTTTGCGCAGAATCCATTTTTGATAACGAGGTATGGAGCCCCGACAGGGACACGAAGACTTTTTGCGCGCGCTCGAGTCCCGCGCTTGTTTTGTAGAAGGAAGGCTGGCTTTTTGCGTGCCCGCTCGAGGATGGCGCACCCTGCGTGTCGAATCTCTGAGGATGTCTCGGGCGAAACGCTTGTTTTGCAGCGCTTGAAAAGCTTGGGCGCCCCAGGATGCCCAGGTGGTTCTGGGAGTGCGATCGGACCGTTATTTACAAAGGATCGTGGCCCTGGGAGCGCAGATGCCGCGTAATTTGCGAAGGTTCGTGGTCCTGGGAGCACAGACGCAGAGTAATTGACGAGGGATCCTGGCCCTGGAGGCGCGAACCCAGCGTAATTCACTAGGGACCTGGGAGCGTGGACACTGCGTCATTCACGAGGGAGCGCGGCGTTAGGAGTGTGGACACTGCGTCATTAACGATGGAGCGCGGCCCTGGGAGCGCGGACGCAGCGTCGTTTACGATGGATCTTGGCCCAGGGAAAGCGGACGCAGCGTAATTTACTAGGGATCGTGGCCCAGGAAGAGCGGACGCAGCGTAATTTGCGAGGGATCATGGCCCTGGGGAGGGCGGACGAAGTGCAATTTACGATGGATCCTGCCTCTGGGGCCGCGGACACAGCGTAATTGACGAAGGATCGTGGCCCTGGCGGCGCGGACGCAGCATAATTTACAAGAGATCGTGGCCCTGAGAGCGCGAACCCAGTTGATTTACAAAGGATCGTGGTCCTGGCAGCGCGGACCCAGTGTAACTTGCGAGGCACCGTGACCCTGGAGCGCGAATCCTGTGTAATTTCCGAAGGGTCGTTGCCCTGGGAGCGCGAATCCAGTTTTTTTTCGAAGGACTGCGCCTTGAGAGCGTGACTCCCGCTTGATTGACGAGGGATCGCTGCCTTGGGAGCGCGGACGCCGCGTTCCCTGGCACGTCCCCTGGCGCGTCCACTGGCACGTTCCGCGGCGCGTCCCCGTGGCACGGCGCGTCCCCCTGGCACATCGCGCGGCGAGTCCCCTGGCACGTCCACTGGCACGTTTCGTGGCGCGTCCCCTGGCATGTCACTGTGCGGCGCGGCACAGCGCAGAGAAGCGCAACACAGCCCTTGGCACAGTAGCATCACCATTGATACCTGGCACGGTCCCTGGCGCCTCCCCTGGGCACGTCGCGCGACGCGTCCCCTGGCACGTCTCCTGGCACGTCCGCTGGCACGTCCGCTGGGACGTTCCGTGGCGCGTCCCCCTGGCACGTCCCGTGCCGCGTCCCCCTGGCACACCTCGCGGCGAGTCCCCTGGCACGTCCCCTGGCACGTCCACTGGCACGTTTCGTGGCGCGTCCCCTGGCATGTCACTGTGCGGCGCGGCACAGCGCAGAGAAGCGCAACACAGCCCTTGGCACAGTAGCATCACCATTGATACCTGGCACGGTCCCTGGCGCCTCCCCTGGGCACGTCGCGCGACGCGTCCCCTGGCACGTCTCCTGGCACGTCCGCTGGCACGTCCGCTGGGACGTTCCGTGGCGCGTCCCCCTGGCACGTCCCGTGCCGCGTCCCCCTGGCACACCTCGCGGCGAGTCCCCTGGCACGTCCCCTGGCACGTCCACTGGCACGTTTCGTGGCGCGTCCCCTGGCATGTCACTGTGCGGCGCGGCACAGCGCAGAGAAGCGCAACACAGCCCTTGGCACAGTAGCATCACCATTGATACCTGGCACGGTCCCTGGCGCCTCCCCTGGGCACGTCGCGCGACGCGTCCCCTGGCACGTACCCTGGCACGTCCGCTGGCACGTTCCGTGGCGCGTCCTCCTGGCACGTTCCGTGGCGCGTCCGGTGGCGCGTCCCCCTGGCACATCGCGCGGGGTTGGCACGTCCCCTGACACGTCCGATGGCACGTTCTGTGGCGCGTCCCTTGTACGCCCTTGTGCGGCGCGGCACAGCGCAAAGCAGTACAATACAGCCCATTGATATTTTCAGCATTACCACTGCCCATCGCCCAATTAAGGTGCTTGGAAAGGTCTCCATTCTTCGCAGTTCGAAATCCCTTTCCAGGTTCGTGGGTCGATCATTTTTGGTGCGCATCTCGTGTAACGTCCAGAGGCGTCGGGCCTCTTGCGTGTACAGTCAGTAATTGGATCGCTCAACTCGAATGAGCTGCAGCTAATTGGAACTGCGCTAATTTCAACAGAGCATGCGACCGCACGTGACGAATGAAGACTCAAAGTCTGCTAGCTAGCTACATGAATAGGTTTCACGTTTCACTTCGATGGCATTTTAAGCCAGTCAGCTGATAGCAGAAGTTGCGATGCTGTAGTTGCGGGAACGACTTCGGATCACGCTGCTGCTTGAATGCATGAATCTCCCAAGAGTAAGGCTGAAGGCGACGGTCCTCGCATCTCACGAGTGATCATGCGGACGCTAGAGGCTGGTGCGCATTTCTCAGTAGTGCCTCGCGCGATGTCCCCTCCTCTTGGAAGCTACTGACCGATGGCAGGACTGCCTGGTGCCGGTGGCTAGAACGTAACAAGTCGTTTCACTGAACTAATCGTCGGGCTTGTGAGCGGAGGGCAGGATTGCCTGCGCTCCCTGCTTGACATAGAAGATTTGATCATCTTCGGATGGTCACCGCTCGCATGCGTTTGCCAGGGGGCAATAGCTCTTGTCTCTCGGAGACGCTCTTTCCTATGATGCGTGGGTTGGTCAGGCCCTTCATTGCGGTTCATCATGGCTTTAGTCGTGGGGCGCTTTTTGTGAACGTCGGCCTCAGTCGCAGAAGGTTGGCTTGCGCTAGGGCTGTGGCGTTTCTAGGCACTCCTGTTGCAGGCGGCTAGCTTGCGGCGAACCTGAAGCTCTACATTGCATGACAAAAAGGTGTATAGTGCGATGAATGAAGCAGGTGTGGGAATGCATCCTGACGGCCGGTACTTTCATTGATGGGCTAAGTCGGATTTCTTCCTGAAGACCGGGCCGCTCACGACAGGTGATTTGGCATGGTCCGCCGCTTCATAACATAGGATTGAATGCAACTGCCATGGATACGCAGGACTTTTACGCCGTTAGGAATTGGCACGAAGTGGACGTGTGTAGCGAGGGCGAATACCCTGGTAGCCTCTCATGGCGGTAAGACTGCATGGCTCTTTCCTCGAATCGCGTTTTCAAGCGATGAGTCGTTTTGCTGACTGGCTACGGTTTAATGGCTACGTGCTTTTCAATGCCGACGATTGTTGTCTTCAATGTTGAATGGACTTTTAAGCCGATGTGCGGTGCACCTTGGCCCAAAAGAGGGGGGTGTCGTGCCACGCATAGCGTTACAATACTATCGTTGGGACGTTTCACTGCACAGCTGTTCTGTCTGGAGGTACTCGTGTCAGAGCTACCGCTCCGACCAAGGGAAAACATATTACTGTTACAGTCAACCCGCATAGTAAGGATGGGCAACCTTCCCAAGGGTACCCTTGCATCCTTGCCTCCTCGGTCCATCCTTTGCCAGTTTCGTTGGCCGCGTTGTGCTCGAAAAGCTTCGAAATGGCCCTCCAAGGCCCTTTCATCCTTATCCCGCATCCTTGCTATACGGGTTGACTGTACATCGTCTATTACTATTGGATTGTTCTATTATTCATTCTACTGAGCTGAGACCATTGCGCCAGAGAGGGGCGCGTCACATTGAGTTGGAGGATACCGGAGTTGTGATATAATGATAACCTCATCAAGAGGGAGAAGGAGAAGGAATAGGCGGATGAGGAGGACAAGGAGGAGAAGGAGGGGGAGGAGGAGGAAATGGGCGAGCAGACGATCCAGAAGCCTCTTGAATGCATTTCGGAATCTCCTCTGATGTCTCTGGGAAGCTTTTTGGAGGCCTCTTGGGGCGTGTGGGAGGCCTCTTGGCGGGCCCAGGGGCGTCTTTGAGCGTCTTTGGTGCCTCGGGGATCCTCGCGACGCCTCTTGGGGGTCTCTTCGGAGCCTCTTGGAGGCCTCTTGGGCGCCTCTTGGGGCCGTCTGGGCGCCTCTTGGGACCTTTTCCCGGAAAGGGCATAAGCCCAGGGTTCTCTTGTCGTAGGTTAACCCCCGGGCCCCGACGGCTCCAGGGCCGGCGACATTATTCTGCGAGAAATATCGAGGTAACGTGTGTGTGTGTGTGTGTGTGTGTGTGTGTGTGTTTGTGTTTGTGTTTGTGTTTGTGTTTGTGCTTTCAGATGAACAACTGCGTTTTTCGCGTGGCCGCTCGAGGAAAGTTTGCCCCCCCATCTCTGATTCTCGATGAATCACGGGGTCCGCAGACCACCGTTTCTCTTTGGAAAGAAAGGGTGCGGCGCATTTTGTGCGGAATGCACGAGAAACAACGAGGTCTGGAGCCCCGACCGCGACGCGGAAAAGCGTCCCGCGCGCAGGAATTCCAAGGGTGTCTCGCGCGTGCCGCGTCCCGCGCGCAGGAATTTCGACGACTAATTCGTTTGTTTTTCTAGGATTTCCTTGGCCACACAGGGGGTATCTAACATGTTCTGCCCGAGCTGGAACCACGTCGCTTCACGTGTCCAGGCCACCCAGGTGGGTATCTAACATGGTGGTCCCCAGCTGGAACCACGTGTTTTCACGTGTCCAGGCCCCGCATGAGGGGTATCTAACATGGTGGTCCCGCGCTGGGGCCACGTGTTTTTACATGCACAATGTACAGGCCACCCAGGTGGGTATCTAACATGTTGGTCCCAAGCTGGAACCACGTGTTTCGCCTGTCGAGGCCATCCAGGGGGTGTCTAAGATGGTGTTCCCGCGCTGGAACCACGTGTTTTCACGTGCGCAGGTCACCCAGAGGGGGTATCTAACATGGTGGTCCCGCGCTGGAGCCACATGTTTTCACGTGTCCAGGCCACTCAAGGGGTACCTAACATGGGACTGCTGGATCCTTCCTGGGACCCGAGAGTTTATTAGTCTTTGGTATCGGTTCGTTGACTTTTTGGCCTCCAGGCGCCTCTGGGCGTTCCTGGGCCCTCCTGCGCTCCAGACGACCGCATGTTAGATATCCACCATGGGTCGGCTGGACCACGTGTTTTTACGTGTGCAAGCCACCCAGGGGGGTATCTAACATGGTGGTCCCGAGCTGGAACCATACTACATGTCCAGGCCACCCAGGGGGATATCTGACATGGTTGTCCCGAGCTTGAACCACATGTGTTTACGTATCCAGGCCACCCAGGGGGGTATCTAACATGACCGTTCCGAGCAATGACCACGTATTTTAACGTCCAGGCTGTTCAGGGGTGTGTCTAACATGGTTTCCCGAGCTGGCAGTTTTTTCGGTGTCCAGGCCATCCAGGGGGATATCTAGCATGGCTGTCCCGAGCACGGACCACGTATTTTAACGTGCTGTAGCGCGTCCCCTGGCACGTCGCCTGGCGCGTCCCTTGGGACGTTCCGCGGCGCGTACTCCTGGCATTGCCCCCCTGTCAATTAGTTCTGGGGCAGCTACTATGTGCCGAGACAGCTCGAGCTCAAGATCCAGATCAGTTCGGTCAGGACTCGGATGCAAAGGAGGACTCGATCCACAAAGCTATAAAGCACACTCGCGGCATGGCACATCGCAGTTCAGCACGGCGCAGCACAGCACAGCCCTCGGCACGGTACATCAAGATCGATACATTCAGCATTGCAATTTGGCACATTCTTTGGCACGTTCCGTGGCGCGTCCCGTGGCGAGTCCCCCGGCACGTCGCGCGGCGCGTCCCCTGGCACGTCCCGTGGCACGTCCATTGGCACGTTCCGTAACGCGTCCCCTCGGCACGTTCCGCGGTGCGTCCCCGTGGCACGTCCCCTGGCACGTCGCCTGGCGCGTCCCGTGGGACGTTCCGCGGCGCGTCCTCCTGGCATGTTCCCTTGTCAGTTAGCTCTGGGGCAGCTACTATGTGCTGAGGCAGCTCGAGCTTAATATCCAGTGCAGTTCGGTCAGGACTCGGATGCAAAGGAGGACTCGATCCACAAAGCTAGAAAGCACACTCGCGGCATGGCACATCGCAGTTCAGCACGGCGCAGCACAGCACAGCCCTCGGCACGGTACATCAAGATCGATACATTCAGCATTGCAATTTGGCACGTTCCTTGGCACGTTCCGTGGCGCGTCCCGTGGCGAGTCCCCCTGGCACGTCGCGCGGCGCGTCCCCTGGCACGTCCCGTGGCACGTCTATTGGCACGTTCCGTAGCGCTCCCCCTCGGCACGTCCCGCGGTGCGTCCCCGTGGCACGTCCCCTGGCACGTCGCCTGGCGCGTCCTTTGGGACGTTCCGCGGCGCGTCCTCCTGGCATTGCCCCCCTGTCAATTAGCTCTGGGGCAGCTACTATGTGCTGAGGCAGCTCGAGCTTAAGATCCAGTGCAGTTCGGTCAGGACTCGGATGCAAAGGAGGACTCGATCCACAACGCTATGCACACTCGCGGCATGGCACATCGCAGTTCAGCACGGCGCAGCACAGCACAGCCCTCGGCACGGTACACCAAGATCGATACATTCAGCATTGCAATTTGGCACGTTCCTTGGCACGTCCCGTGGCGCGTCCCCCTGGCACGTCGCGCGGCGCGTCCCCTGGCACGTCCAGTGGCACGTCTATTGGCACGTTCCGTAGCGCTCCCCCTCGGCACGTCCCGCGGTGCGTCCCCGTGGCACGTCCCCTGGCAAGTCGCCTGGCGCGTCCCGTGGGACGTTCCGCGGCGCGTCCTCCTGGCATTGCCCCCCTGTCAATTAGCTCTGGGGCAGCTACTATGTGCTGAGGCAGCTCGAGCTTAAGATCCAGTGCAGTTCGGTCAGTACTCGGATGCAAAGGAGGACTCGATCCACAAAGCTATAAAGCACACTCGCGGCATGGCACATCGCAGTTGAGCACGACGCAGCACAGCACAGCCCTCGGCACGGTACATCAAGATCGATACATTCAGCATGTCGTTTGCCCGTCGCCCAATCAGGTGTCTTTGAAACGTTGCCATGCCTTACATTTTTGTATTCCTTTCCGGGTTCGTTGGTCGATCATGTTTGACGGTCCCCAGGCCCGGTGAGGGTCCCCAGAGGCCAAACATGGAGAAGAAACACCTCCCGTCGTGATTTCTTTCACGACGCGAGGGGGTCTGGGTTTCTCTCCTTCTCACCTCCTCCCGGACCTCGGGAAGCCATACACGTATACTGCAAGATGGGTATGCTATATATGTTCGGGCCGGATTCGCGCCTCCAAAGAGGACAATGCGTGCTGGTATGCCTCTGCGCGTCCCCTCGTCTCTCTGCCCCTCACCTCCTCCCTGACCTCGGGGGAGGCCCGTGAGGGCCGCGGCCTGCGGCCCTGGCAAGCGGCGCCTCGGCTCCGCCGAGGCGAGGGGGCCCGAGGAGCAGCACGGGGGGCGGGAGGGCCCTCGTCTCGCGGGCCAGCCCGCACCCGAGCTGGTCCTCCCCCTCGCACGGCTGCGTCCTTCCCGAGGGGGCAGGGGTTCGGCATCGTTCCACCCTTCCCCATCCCCATCCCCATCCCCATCCCCATCCCCTTCGGGGCCCCTGCCTACTTCCCCCCCCCCCCCCATGGGGGAGATGCCTCTCGAAGCCCGAAGGATGCGGCCCATATCCCCATCTAGGGGGGCAGATCGGCCAGTGGGGCCCAGGCCACGTCGCTGGGGATGGGGATCGGTTAAACGATACTCAGAGGTTTCGGGCTCGAGGCTCGTTGTTTCGAGGTTTTCGGGCGTATTCGTCGGTTCTCGGCGGCTGCCCAGCCTCGCGATGCTCTCCAGCGGCTGCGCCTCGCCGAGGGCGTTCTGGGGGTGCCCGCCTCGTCCCGATCGGCCGCCGGAGGCCCGAGTCACGGCCCGAAAACCATCAGCCACGCGCAGAGGGGGGCATGGAGGACAGGGGGAAGGGCAGAAGGTTTGTTAGAAGCGCACTTGCTTCTTAGAAGGCGCGTGCCTTCTCTGTAGACGTGGGCCCGGCGCCTTGTGAGAAGCAGCCTCCTTCTAAGAAGCCTTCCCCCCTCCTCCTACCCCCCTCTGCGCGCCGCCAAAGTAGGTCTCGAGGGCCAGCTCACCTAAGTCGGTCTCCTGCTCGCACGGGTGCGTGTTTCCCGAGTGTACGGGTGTAGTGTAGTAGGCGCAGATTGGGGCTGATTGGGGGTCTGACGTGGCCCAGCAGCACTGGTTCTGGCCAGCAGAAGGGGCGGGCAGGTTCGAGGTTCTTGGTTCCATGACGTTTTTTGTTCTTGCTTGCCTCCGGGGGGCCGTTTTGGGGCCCAGAGAAACAAAGAAAAAGGGATCCAGAGAGAGGCACTACTCCAGATGGACCCCGGGTGGTCTCTTGGGAGCCTCCTGAAGGCCTCTTGGGTCTTTCTGGGGGCCTCTTGGAGGCCTCTAGGGGCCTCTCGGGAGGCCTCTTGGGACCT